AGTTAAGTTAATTTTTAATATTCAGGGACCACTTAACAAGTCCCCACCCCTAAGTTTTTTCATGTTCTCGAAAAATCTTCAACTGCCTATAAAACCCCCTAGACAACGCACCACTATGGACTCTCTTGTCCCCTCCTGGCGTCAGCCGGGAGCTCTGTCCTTTCACTTTATCTCTAAATAAAAGCCTGTACCTTGCTCTCCTACCCTGACTGTTTGTGAAGCTCATCCTTCGGCTCCGCAAACAAGAACCCTGGCATCACCACGACACTAATAACTGCAGAAGCAGAAGGCAGTCTAGTTATATGTAAGTAATCAGTGATCTGCGTACAGTATTCCAAGATTTTTTTTTAATTTCAAGATGGAATCTTGAACTCTTAACAAAAATGACACGAATGAGGGTACTCAACTCCATCCCCTTGCAAAATGCTGTCACGATATTAATTTAGGGTGTCACTACAATCATTATCCTCATCAAGCACTCTTAGGATGAAATTCCTTGTTATCATAGCTGCTGTCCTCTGCACTCCCCCTCAGCACTTACCAATTTCCTAAACAGAATGGCGAAGACCCTGAAAGAGTCAAAGCAGGCTATCTCTGGGCCTCCTCACCCTCGTCCCCACCCCATCAGAAGTCCCAGACATTTCTACCATACAGAGCCCCTACATCAGGCACTGATATCCCATACCCTTACTCTTCTTGCTGCTCTTCCTCAGAAGACGTGTATTCTCAGTGTTGAATGGTCAGAAAATATCCTGGGGCTTTCTGCCAATGCCTACTCATCAAGAGTCACTTGAAGATTCTAGGCATGTCCCCCCCAGCTTTCCACCCTCCCCCTCTGCTTTATTTCTTCTTTAGATCCTAGGATCCACTCTCCTTAGTCTCCTTAGCTGCTGCCTCCTTATCCTTTAATCTAGAATTTCTGTGTCAGCTAACTGGAGGGCAGGGTCCACGTCTGATTCCTCCCCACACCTCTGCTGTGCATCTTCACTGCTCCTCACAGACACGGTAGGCAATCTGTTCATTCTTCCCAGATGAACAAACCAATTAAACCATATTAATAAATCCTTAGGACTGAATGTGATTGGGGGGGGCCTCTGGAAAGTAATTAGGTTTAGACGAGGAAAAGAGGGTGAAACCCCCATAATAAGATTAGTGTCCTTATGAAAGGAAGGGAGACCAGAGGGATCACTCTCCAGGCATGCACAAAGAGACGGCATATGAGCACAAAGGTAGCCCTTTGCAAGCCAGGAGGAGAACCCTCACCAAAAACCAAATCTGTGCCTTGATCTTGAATTTCCTGCAGAACTGTGATAAAATAAATGTATATTGTTTAAGCCACAAGAGTCTATGGTATGTTGTTACAGCAGCCCAAGCTAAGATACTTACTCTGCCAAGAACTATGCTGGCCACCTTTATATCCAAGGCCCTATTTATGTTCTAATTTGCTTAAATCAGGTGACACCCATCATCTCCCAACTTGTAAACAGGAGTACAACAACCCAGAGAAGGCAAATGACCACCCAAAAGATAACACAGAAGGATGGAGTGGAGTCTGGGTGGGAAGTTAAAGCTTCACATTTTGTACAGGACCTACAATATGCTTGTTGATTCATCGGAATCAAGGAACGTTAGAACTAGAGGGGCCTTCAGCTATTTTCTAGCCCAACCCCATAGTATATGCATGAAGTATCACCAGGGATACAAGACAGCATCAAGTGGAGAGCAGCCAGAGATAAAGGCTGCATGAGGACTACGGAAGAAAACTTCAGCCTTCACAGGGGAATCACAATGTACCAATATAGAACAAATTCTTCACTGACTATTAGTTTAACGACCTAGCTATATTGGTGGGCACTTGAAAGAAAGCAAGAGAGAAGAGAGCAAAGAGGATATAAATAAAAGAATTATAGTTCCAAGAGAAGAGGGATATGAAAAAGCAAGAAGTGTTGGCTAAGGAGGGGATACATGCCTTCCCCTCTCCCTGGACACTCCCATGGGAGTGGCTTCTTAAGTTCTTCAACTATGGGCCTACCTGGCTGGCAGGAGGCAGTCATGGGGTTGCCCGGGGCCTTCCATGCTCTATGTGTGCTTTCCCACTGAGCAGCACTGGCCTCACCTGGGAGCTTGTTAGAAATGCAAGTTCTTGGAGTCCTGCTCCAGAATTACTAAATCTGAATCATATATGCGCAATAAAGTTTGAGAAGTTGCTTTTGTTGGGCAATTCAGGATAGCAAAAAATTGGGAAGGATTGGAAATGCCTGTGGGGAACCGGAGAGGGACTGAAATTCCTGCTCATGACAGAGAGCTTGAGAAGGCAGGGGGCAGTGTGGAGAAAGATGGTCTAGACTTTTTTCCCCCCATCTGGCTTCTTTTAAAACAATCCACAACAGCAAATCTGATTCTGCTTAAAGTGGCAGCTATCCAGGACCAAGTGAGTGGCATCTGTAAACTCATACTTCCCACTCTAGAAGGCAGGAGCATGCCACCATGTCTCCCTTCCTGTCCCTAACATGCCCCACCCAACTGGGGACCTTTTGTGGAAGCTCACCTCAGGACAGGGCTGTGGGCAGATGTTGGGGAATTTGCAGTTTCTGAACTCCTCCTGGGAAGACATGGCCCACAGAAGTCCCCTGTAGGCCCTCCACTCACAGAAGCTAAAATGCCCTACCCAGAGGGGCAGGAAGCCAACAGAACTGGCCACCAGGAGGAGGAGGACTAAGGGGTAGCCAGACATTGGAGCACCTGGGGCAGGGAGCATGTGCCCTGAGATTGCCACTCTGGAATGAACAACAAGGCACAGTGGGTCCCTAAGGTACATGTCCCAAGGACCAATTCAGCCAAGTCAGAGTGGCCATGCCCTGAGAAATAAGAGCTATTTCCCAAGGATGCCCCCTTTTCCTGAGGAAGCCCCCGTTGCATCCAGCTGCACAATCACTCCTAACAAAGCTTCAAACCAGGAAGGGTGTTTATCAAAAACCAAAGAAATGCAAACATCCTTGGGCAGAAGGAGACCAGCAGGGGGCCTGCGAGGGCAGAATGGCTTTGAAGATCCCAGAGATCCCTCTGTTGCCTTAGGCAAATTGGTTTTACTATCTGAGCCTGGGTTTTATGATCTGAGCCTCTGCTGTAAAACAAGGGTTAAGAGCATCTACCATGGGACTGTGGAGGCAATTGCAGGGGATGAATACACCTATCCAACACAGAGCTGGACTCACCGTACGTACTCAGAACTATCAGCTAACCCCCCCACGGTAAGGTGAAGTGAGATTCCAACCTGGCTTCTGTGACTGGCTAAGCCACGCCCAGCCACCTCTCCCTGATACTCTAGGTCAGGCCTCAATCCGCATCAGGATCTCATCTTTCCAACATGCACCTTGTCCCATCAACAATGTCAGCCTTTTCAAGGCTTGTCCAAGAGCTACAGATCTACTGTTTCCGTGCATGTTTGGTTGCATGCAGATCAGTAAGTCCCAAACCAACCAGACCCTAGACCTTGTTCATAGGAGTTATAAAATATATTTGTTATAAACAAAGGGTTACCTACTTCCATATATAATTCTTTTACAAACTAACAATGTCCTAATCGTAAGAGTAAAAGCCATGATAACAAAATCGTACGTGAAGTTGGAAGAGGCAGAACTTACAATGCATTTGCCATGGAATATGCATTTAAGAGAAGACTGTATTTAATGAATATTGTTGTCAGTTTTTCCCATATATTTGGCATTTTGAAATAAGGGCTAAATTAGAATCTTTCTATAACTGCATACAATCATTTGTGAGTAAGAAAGCTACAAATGCAGACCAGTAGAGGGGGGTTGTCTTGGTGACTCACTCACTAGGTGTGCAGCATTGCCATGGGTCATGTGATTTTTCCAAAATTGTGGCTTAAGAGTTGATAAGTT